TCCATCCCCTCTTCCCCCTTGGAGCTCCGAGGTTGCCCTGATGCGCCCGACTCCTCCTCCTCCTCCTCCTCCTCCTCTTCTGATTCGGCTGCTGGAGGGGCCAGGGGGCACAACAGTCTCTCTGTGGGTCAGCTGGTCCTTCACACCCTCTTTGGCTTCCCAGCCTGACGCATATAAATTGCGATGGGTTGTCTCGATCGCGGTTGTCTTTCCCACGCAACTTCGATTGGGAGGCAGTCCAAGTTCCCAGCATGCTGGAAAGTCCGCTCATGGAGCAGCCCCTGCGCCACCCTCCCTGGATGGATGGATGGATGCGGGTCTCAACGGGGTTCTGGCTGGGCATGGCAGACGGAATAACCCCGGAAATGCAGCAACAACACCAGCGAAGTCCTCTGGGGGAGGAAGCCACAGGGGGGTGGGGGTCCTCCTCTGTCCCCCCCCATTGACACCCCCCCGCCCCCGATGTCCCTCCAGATCGCCATGCAGTCCCTCTGGAACATCAAAATAGCCGTCCTGGTGAAGCCGGAGCACGAGAATCGGATCAGCCACGTTGGCACCTCCAGCGTCAAAACTGGCATCGCCAACACTCTGGGTAAGGAGCAGCCTTTCTCCCTTGTCAGGGCGACGGGCACCGCGTGCCAGGCCGGAGGGGTTCCAGGGCCGCCTCGGACCCCCTCCTGCAACTGTCAGGGGAGTAGCTTCATGAGAGCCAGCGTGGTCTAGAGGAGGGGTCTCCAACCATGGGCACTTTGAGCCTGGAGGACTTCAAGTCCCAGAATCCCCTGCTGGTTGGGGAATTCTGGGAGTTGAAGTCTGCCAGGCTTAAAGTGGCCAAGGCTGGAGACCCCTCCTCTAGACGTTTAAGGCACCTGGCTAGAAACTGGAAGGCAGAGAGTTCTAGTCTCGCCTTGACCTTGAAAGCCGGCCAGGTGACTTTGGGCCAGTCCCTCTCTCTGAAACCAACCCACCTCACGGGGTTGTTATGGAAAAGAACAAGAGGAGGAAGGTGTGTTGGACATGTTACCTTGAATTATTTGTAAAAATAATGAAGGCAGGTTAACAAATTAAATCTATCTATCTATCATCTCTATCATCTATCTATTATCTATCAATATCTCTATTTATCTATGTCTATCAATCCATCCATCCATCTCTGTCTGTTTATCTATTTACCTACCTATCTACCTCATCTATCTATCTATCTATCTATCTATCTATCTATCTATCTATCTATCTATCTATCTATCTATCTATCTCAATCATCCATCCATCCATCTCTGTCTGTCTGTCTGTCTGTCTACATATCTCTCTCTTTATCGTATCTATCTATCATATATTTATATCTATCTATCTATCTATCTATCTATCTATCTATCTATCTATCTATCTATCTATATCTATCTCAATCATCCATCCATCTACCTACCTACATCTCTCTCTCTCCCATATTGATCTATATCTATCTATCTATCTATCTATCTATCTATCTATCTATCTATCTAT